TACAGGCAGTTCATCTGCCTGGCTATTATCAGAGATAATATTTGTAATACTTAACATCTGTTAAATATATATTATTATTTGTCAGACAGATTTCTTATATCTTCTGACCCCGTTACTGTTTTATAATAGATATTTTGGCATCTCTTTTTTAAAGATGAAGAAACTGAGGCTCAGTGAGGTTAGGCAACCTGATCAAAGACACAAAACTGGTAAGCACAAAGGGTAGGTTTGGAGTCCAACTTTGCCTGGCAGACAAGCCCACATTTCCTACCATTATGCTTTCCCATAGATAAGTCCATATATTTAAAAGTTGTGTTTTTTTTTCTCAAAATTTTCTGAAGCAGTGAAAATATTGTGCTACTCAGATTCTTTCTGATGGCCAAAAGGAGAGGAAGAATGGATAACTCTCGTGGTTGTGTGGCCTTACCAGGCATTATAACATGTAATTTACACTTTTAGATATCTCCTCACTTTTTACCCAGATCTGCCAATATTGGCTCAAACCACTTAATTTCCTTATTTCCCTCATTAAGCACTCCTACCATTACTAATTTGTTTACTGTGATTGTTTTTATTTATAATCATTACACATAGCTCATGATCTGCACTGGAGTTTCCTTTTGAGGTGTTTCAAGATATTGATTCACAGAAAGGCTACAATAATACCTGAGAGAATGTGACTTTTCAATACCAGAAAAGAGACCAAAATAAGGCATGATGTGTTTCCTTTAGCTATAAGAGTTTCGTATTTATCTCCCATAACTCTTTTTAAAATGCTTCAGTAACATAAGTTCCTCTACATATAAAAGATTACAGGAACACCTCTTGGGTTGAGAGATTTGCTATGATATTTTTTTCCTATTATTTACATTATTTACCAGAGTCAGATAAAGGGAAATAAGATGAATAGGATTCTTCACTATCATTATCATAAAAAAAATTTACTATGGACCAACTTATGGCTGGCATTGTTCAAAATGGCTTGGACATATGCATTGTCAGCATTAACACGGAATAATGTCCAGAGTTCACATAACAAAAGGATTTTTGTTAAGCTATTGCTTAATTTATGCATACTATTTTGCAAGATCAGAGGGTAAGGAACAGAATGAATAATGACAGAAACTTATTTTGGACACTAGTATCTCAGTTATAACAGCAAATCCCTCCAGTTCTAGAATCTTTACAAAGGTGTAGTTATTGGTTTTAATTTGACCTTCCATGAAACTAACACGTATGTCTCTAAATATACAGTAATATGTACCCTGGAATGAGGTGTACGCAAATATTACAACAAAATTAATTCAAATATAAATATATTTAGTAATATGCAAATGCAAAGATGTTCTTAGTTATATCTTACTTTTTCTAGTAGATAAAAGCACTTGGAGCATCCTCTTCTACATTAGTTGGTCCTTCTTTATGTGTTTAGCATTGTTCTTGGTTCATATCCCTCACACATTCTAGAGCCCTTATTATTTGCAGGTTATTTTCAGTTTGTGCTAATATGTGATCCAAATGTCATGCCAATGACACATCTTTATCAGTTAATAGCAGGAAAGCTTTCTCCCTCTAATAAACACTAAAAAACTTACTAATAATGTTACTCTTTTGCAAATAAACCTCTTCTTTTACCTGAGTATGCTCTAGCTGTGTTTTCTCTGTAGACTTTATAAATGTGTTTCTCCATCTCAGGATAAACCAATGGGTTTTTACAGTTCTTTATAAGAAGAGTCACTTCCTCAGTGGGATGGAAGCTAATGAAAAATTTGTTTTGGAGTGATGGATCTTATGATATGTTGTAGGCAAAAGATTCGTAACACATCACCATATTTATCATTGTGACCTAGATCAATAAATAATTATTGTATACAAGTTAAAAGAAAATTTTTAAATACTGAATGAAAGAATTTTACTTTTCAGACCATATGATGTCAGATTGTATTCATAATCTCTCTTTAAGAGCTCAAAGATCTAGATAAGGACCCAAAAAGAGGTAACAGTTCAACTATTAGAACAGTGTTTGAAAGAGGAATTATATAGATCCCTGGAGCTAGACTTTTCCAGGAGGTGCAGTTTTAAACAAATTGCTATGTACAAACAATGCATATCACTGCTAAGCTCATCTCTATTAACCTAGGCATTTATCTTTTCACCCCAAGACACTTACTGTCTTAGAAATACCTATAGTGGCCCAGAATTCCCCATCTGATGCCAGTAATGAGTAATTTCGTATATCCCTTGCCTATTCTCCGCCTTTGTTCTGTTAGGATTCTACCCTTCTATTGATTATTTGTAGCATGATTATTCCTATGAATTATGAGACTGGGGGAAAGAGTTTAAGTAGAGGCCCATATTTTTTTTATTATAAACAAAATAGAGATTATTAAATAAACTGTTATAGTATCCCAGTTTGACAGATATCTCTTTATAAAAACTGGATGTTCAGTACAATTTTAGAACTTTTGTTGTCCTCAGGAATATGTTGGGATGGAGAGAGGTGGCTTCAGTCTACAGCCACTCCTTCACCCAGTTCTATCCTGTATTGTGAGTGGTCTTACATGAAAGTTTTTGGACACTTTAGCCCACATGTCCAGGATATGTACAGTTTCCCATCACATATCAATACCTGGACTACCCATTATTTCTTCCTAAATATATGCACATTGGTGACACAGTCTCCTGTCTGAGGGATGGAACTGAGAAAGATGACATTACAGTCTCCGTGTGAAGATTTGGGGTTATTTGCAAAGGGAATTCTGGTATCACAGAGTAAGGAAGGGGAGAGTGAATAATCTAAATGGACCTTTTTCTTCATTCCACAGACTTTGTACAGTGGTGAAGGATGTGGCCAGAGAACGGCCAGAGTGATTAATGAAATACTTGCTGCTTTCTTATTGCCACTCTCCTGGTCACATGAGACACACAAGTTAACAATTCAAAGTGCTTGACCTTATAGTGCTATATTCTGGGAAAAAGAGAGATAGGTTACAAATACTAAATCTGATAAATATATTAATGATAAAGTATGGTAGAAGGTAAGAAGTACTGGGGAAAATATGAGAATTGAAGCAGGTAAAGGTGTAGGGGCTACAGTGCTTAACAAGTTTATCAGGGTTGGCCTCAACTGAGAAGGTGATATTTAAGCAAAAACTTGAAGGTAGTGAGGGAGTTTGCCAAGAAAGTAACAAGATGAAGAGAAAATCAATTTTTTAAGGGCATAATGCACACTTTAAGGTAGAACTATAATTTTAATGTGAAAGAGAACTGATGACTAGATCATATATTGCAGTTCTGTCTAATAGATTTATAATAAGAACCATAAAAATGTAATTTAACATGTTTGTTTTGCCACAATAAGAAGGTGAAAAGAAACAACTGATATTAACTTTAATAATACATTTTATTTAACTCAATTTATCTCAAATATTATCATTTCATCATATAATCTCCAAAATCCAGAGTGTATTTTGTACTTACATCACATCTAAATTTATGCCAGCTACACTTCAATTGCTCAGTAGCAACATATGGCTAGTGGTTATTGCACTGAACAGCATAAAGATTTTGACATATCAGTAAAAGGATTTTGTCTGTTACTCTGAGTGACTTAGGAGATGTTTCCGAGTTTTAAGCATTGAAGTGTCGTAATTTCATTTATGTTTTTAAAATATCTTGGCTAGCCTGAATTGAGAATACACCATAAAGAATCAGGAATAGACACAGGGAGACCTACTGATGATGAGGAATAATCTAGATGAGGAATGATGGGGGCTCAGATGGGAGCCATGGATGACCTAAGAAGTAGCTGAATTTCTGATCTTTCTGAAAGTAGAACAAATAGTACGGACCACACTTGGGGTGTCAGAGGAGAGTCAAAGATGGCTGGATTTTTGACCAGAAAGCCAGAAAAGATGGAATAACCTCAACTGAGATGAGGAAGGCTGCTGGAGGGGTGGGGGAAGAAAAGAGTTCAGCTGTTGATAGGTGTGTCTGAAAAGCATACTAGACATCCAAGTTACGATGTTGAGTTAACAGTGGGATATGAACTTCAAGTCTGGGGGAAGTATAGAGATGAATGTTTGGAGATCACCAACTTTGAAACCAAATAAGATCACTAAGGGGGTGAGAATACACGAAGGGGAAGTGGGTGGGAAGTACCAAAAACCGAGCCTCCGAGCATCTGAAATGAAAAGGGTTAGTTATAGTAACATGAAATTGGTATTAAAATAATAGCAAACACTTGAGTACTTTTGAATCATTTTTAGTTTTTTAAAATTCTGACACCTGTCTATCATCATTTTATTGAAAAACTATAACATTTAGATGAAACACAGACTTTTTTTGTAACACTATTTTGCTTTAAAATGTCTCAAAAACCTTCAAATAACTAACCTATTATAGACAACTAAATTTAAACAGTGGGCAGTAAAAATTAAAAATGTGGGTGGAATGAGTTTATAGACAACAATTAGTTTTTGATACATGTTGTTTATGTTTGAGTTCCCTAGAGATGTTCAGGGCAATTGTTATTTGATAAATATAGCATTAAACACGAATAGAGCCATTTTAAATGTATCCTAAATAATGTACAAACATGGCTTTGTTTTACTTATTGTCACCAATTTGCTTTTTTATGTAAAATTTTATTGATGGTCATGTGTCTTTAACCTATTGTAGTCTGTTGATAAGCAAGACCTTTGTTCATTTAACTGTATTCAAATCTCAGGTATGAAGAAGGTCTCGTAAACAACACGCATTATTTTACTATAAGCACATTCATAAATGTTTAAAAGAAATACAACTTATACTTCAAATGAGATGCTAACACTTTATGATCTTTTATTATGAAGCCAATTATTTAGAATATGATATGGAAAATAATATATTAAGGTAAAAACTTAAAATTAGAATTTAATAACTCATTTTAATCTAAATTGCTACATATACATAGTGACAAATTAGTTTTATAACACAGGCAATTGTTTGTGTCTTTTCAGTCTGTTCGAGAAGTCACAGGCTACGTGTTAGTGGCTCTTAATCAGTTTCGTTACCTGCCTCTGGAGAATTTACGCATTATTCGTGGGACAAAACTTTATGAGGACCGATATGCCTTGGCAATATTTTTAAACTACAGAAAAGATGGAAACTTTGGACTTCAGGAACTTGGATTAAAGAACTTGACAGGTAAGGAATATATTAAAAATGGCAAATACGCTTTCAAAATCAGTATAAGGCAGTGCACACAAAAATGTGTATTTAGGGTTACTGCCATATTTGTTAATACTGAGGCGCACTCTAAGGCATTCAAATATTGGTGATTAGTTCATTTTATGAGAAATGATGCCCTGTGATGCCCTTGCTTTTATTTATAGATTTTGTAAGTGCAGTGTGAAGGATACCATCATACTGTAGCTCAGCTGAACAGAAATACACTCTGGAAACGCTCTGTGACTAAAGACTGAGATATGAAACACACTATGTTTGGTGGTTTCAGGTGAACAGTGGACCATATCATCAAATCTTTGCAATAATGCAATAACTATCATTAGAGCATAGTAATACCCAGGCTGTTATATCTGTTTCCATGAATCTTTAGTTTTCTGAACAATCATCTTATTTTTGGAAAATACATCTAATTTATACAGTTTTGGTTTCTCTTATTCAGTAGCTCACTAAATGCCATCAGCAATTCTTTCTCAGAATACTTCAATATTATCAGAGTAATTTTTTCTCATTAAGATTGGAAGTATATGATGTTAGCAACCTAAAATTTTCATCTTTCTATGAAAAACACTTGATAGGAATTGATTTTGTAAGCTGGTTCTTGCCATCCTACTGTTACATTACAGTTCACATAGCTCAGAGTAAATAAAAGTTCTTGTAGGAGGCTTTTTGGTATAATGTTACTAATCAAAAATTTTATTCTCGTATACCTGTAATCAAAGTGAGCTAATTACCGAGATCATGCCATTGCTATCCAGCCTAGGCAACAAGAGCGAAACTCTATCTCGAAAAAAAAAAAAAAGAAAAAGAAAAGAAATTTAGTAACTAACTGTGGGATAAAGGAGTTTACACTTTTAATTTACTCTAAATTAATGTAAACTTTATTTTTTGCATCCAAACATGTAGTGGTTTTACATGTACTTTGAGTCCAGTAAGTAGTAATAATTCTTGACATTGAAAAATTAAGCAGTTTAGAGATATTGCCTTAAAATATAACAAAAACAAAGATGAATATTGTCAGGATATTGAAATCATTTGTATTTATATATTTGAAGTAGTTACAAAATTTGTAGTTTTAAGTTAGATGTAGCTTCCTAGTTACCAAGACATGTGAGATAAAATTGGTATATTTTTGGTGAAGAAAGGAATACTGATTATGTTATTTATTTTGGATATGATTACTATAGAGTTGATGAAATAATGGTGAATATGCAAATTGTTCCGAATTTATAGAGTTCTTCATCAACATTTTCACTTTTATTTCTTTCAAAGGTGGTTTTCTTACCAAAGAATGGTTTTTTTTTTTTTTTTTTTTTTTTTTACAAAATTGCTACTTATATAGAAATAATGATAGGAGAAAGAATTTGGAAATGAAACGTGTAGAGAATAATTGAATGATTGAAATTAGGAATCTAAAAATACTATAATGCGATCCGGTTAAAACTTGTATAGGAAGCGTTGTGTTTTCTTCATGATTTCCCTCTAATTATATTAAAGAAGAAAATCATTAAATTTCTTTTCCAACTTTTTATAATACTTGAATCCTGTTAGTATTCCAAAAGATAGGCCGTTTGAGCAATCTTTCCACATAGAAAATTAGTCTTTAGAGAGTTCCCTTATTTATTTTCACATTTAATACCAGTACTACTAATTATTAAAACGGAGTTATTTAATCAATTAAAATTATGCCACATTTAAGCGTGTTTCATACTGAGTAAGTGCATACTGTGTATTATTTAAAGTTGTGACATTTGTTTAACTTGTACATACCAAAATATAACACTATTATTTTAAGAATATAATTTTTCACTTTACCTGGAAGCTGTGGTATTTTCTTGTGTAGTAGTATAAATGGATAATTAATATGATAAATGATTAAGAGAATGAGTTGATTGTTTAGAAAAATACATAATCATTCAAAAGTTATTATTAATTTCTTTTTTGCCTATGAATTGAAGAAAGTGCAACAAAATGGTAGAAATTTAGGCTAGTGTGAACATTTTTCAGATATTTTATTTATTAAGTTGTTGACTATTATATGCCGAAATTATTCTATGAGGGAAACAGTCTAGAGTGATTGAACTTTAGATATTCTGGTTGATAGTTTTTCTCCAATTGTGAGAAGCAGGTTACATGGAAGCATTATTATAATTGTGTGCAAGTATATGTGAGAAATGACAGAAGACACCTAGCTGTTCACATGAATAAGGATATGGGATAAAATTTGTTCAATGGTAAAATCTTAAAGAGCTAAATGTTCTAGGTAACCCGATTAAAGCAACAGCAAGTGCCATAATCAAGTTCAGTTAAGATTGTTTTCTGTTTTGGAAAGATATTTGCTTTATGTTGCTTGTTTTTGTGTTATACAAAGCAAGAATTTTTAAAACAGCATTTTTTATATTCTATTAAGTGCAGAGCTACTGGGCTGGCCTTAATTTTTTTATACCTGGTATAAAATGAGGTGAAATAGCAAATTTGCTGATGAGTTGAACACCTCACTGCCTAATCTACCATAGTGTACTAAATTTTTAACTCTATTCTTATAGGACCAGCACCATGAGCATCATTGAGGAACTTAGAAATGCAAATCCTTGGGCCTCATGTGAAACCTATTGAATGAGAAACTCTGGGGCTGGGGCCCAGCAACTTGTGTTTCAAGTACCCCTCTAGTGATGCTGATGATAACTACAATTTGAGAAACACTAATCTAATTAATGATATGTTACCAATAATTGGTAGCACAATATCCAGTTAAATTCTTTACACATATTTGGTTCAAATAATTTTTATTCATCTATTATTCTGCAGAGAGAAAGGAAGGGATGAGACAGGAACAGATAAGGTTTTGCTTGCATGACAAGAAATACACTGTATGTTGGAGTGAAAATGAAAAGAACACACTGGGATCCTAGATAGAAACTTGGGTATAAAATGACTTAAAGATAAGGAAGGGGGTAAACTTTTTCTGTAATCATTTTGCCAAATACCAACTTTATATAATGGTAAACCCTTAAAAAGACAATAATAATTTATGGTGAATTTTCTTCTTAAGCAAATTTTTTATTTTTAATTACTTTCAACAAGGCAAATAACCAGTAACAATTGTGGGGATGGGAATTGTACACAGTGTTGTAACCAAGAGTTTTGAGATGAGACTTTAAGGGTTCTTTTGTGTGTGTGTGTCTGTATGTATATGTGGTTTACATTTCTACTGAAATCTTTTTCAATGTTTGATATTAGAATAGTGTCTGTTCAGAACAGCACATTAGCTTCCTGCAAATTTTGTGTAAAAGGGATATTTAGTTAACATGAAGACTGTCATTATATACTGGTTAATTGTTGGATGTCATTTTGTCATATATAGATGAATTCTCACATTAAAAATTCTTATTAATTAATTTGATGTTCACCAAAAGTTATGCATGGCCTAAAAAATCACTGCAGATCTTACTTGCATACTTTCATGTTGGTTGTGCCCAAGACAAGAAATGCATTTAAAAATATTTTTCTGATCAAATGAAAAAACTTGTTTTGCTGCTGCCTCTCACATTTCCCATTATGCATAGGGTAGATGATAAGTAGAGGGGAAAAGAGGCAGGTCCCAAGACTAAAAATAGGCCACGCAATCTATAAAGTGCTGAGGAAATTACATTGGCACACTCTAGGTGTCCTGTTAACACTGCCTTACTTTTTCCTTGCCAGTGGAGAGGTTATACTTCCATCAGTACATCCCTTCAGGCATATAATCATCTGTATCTCGAGGCCATTGGGAAGGTCACTACTGCATCAGAGAAGTGTGTAGTTGGACAGGGGCACATCATGTCTTCCATTAAGGTCATTTGCATGTGACTGTCGTTCTTACCAGTCACTCTTGATGATGATGTCCTGCTGACTTTTTTTTTTTTAATCACCTCTTTCTTAACCAAATGTTCCTATTCAAATTGACATTTAGTATTATATTTACAACCACAATTAATTCTATAAGCTTCTACATGTTTAGTCACTAGTGTGGCCAAACCCTAAAAGGAATCATATGGGCCACAAAACCCACTATTATTTTCTCCCTTCTATAATATATAAAATCACCTCGTCTGTTTCTAATTGTGGGTAATTCATATTAATTGCATCATGCAATTTAATCCACATACGATATTGTAGATACAAAGCAATCTTTCATAATTGCTTAGGTTTATATCAATCCTATTTATATCCCAAATTGGAATATAAATGCTTAAGTTCATATTTATTCTGTTTATATCTTAAATGGAAAGATAAATAATTATTATCTATTTTATTTTTATCCATATAAAATAACAAATGTGGTTTGATCTTGATGTGGTATGTTAACCTAGGGACAAATCTAATACATGTATAGGTGTATTTATCACACTAAATTTTACCTTAAATGTTTGAATTTTCACTTTATAAATTATGAAAATATCTTTAAAGGAGGTGATATTTGGGATGATACAAAAGTATAATTGGTATTTTTCAAAAATTAGCTGAATATTCTACATATGTTGAGACTAACACATTCACGTTTCAGTCTTTATTTGATATTTTCTGGACTTTGTAATTGTTTCATTAACTGTGTACTGGATCAACTTGATTAGATTATTATTTGAGGTATGGACAAACAAAAATTTAAAACAAAAAGTAAAATACCAAAGTTATTCCTAGATGCCGTCAATAATAATGAAAATAATACATGAAGTTTGCTGGATTGTGGTAGATGAGAAATAGAATACAAGGCTTGGTGGTGCATGTTGTTTTCCAGCTGCTCAGGAGGCTGCAGCAGGAGGATCCCTTGAGCCTGGAAGATCAAGGCTGCAGTGAGCCATGATCATGCCCCTGGACTCCACCAGACTGAGTAGCAGAGAGGGACCCTTCTTAAAACTAAATAAAAAAGTAAAATGCTTAGTCCAGAAGCTAGAACATCTAAATGATGTAAAATTTGAAAG